AAGGCAGTGGACATGCAAAATGGACCCTAATCGGATTTTGGTGGAGTTATACAATGGAACCCCCAAGTACACCGTAGCCCCAACCCCACTCTCCAATTCGTGCGCTGATTCATGATAATGCGCTTCAAAATTCACCAAAGACGCCCACTTCGATGGAAGTGGGTGGGGCTGGTGAAGTTTTGGAGCGCGTTTTCATAAATCAGCGCCTGAATTGGAGGATGAGGTTGGGGATGCGCTGTACTTGGATGATCCACTACCTAGCACTACCAAAATCTGACCAGGGTCTATTTTGCCGATTCACTGCCTTCGTGTTCGTTTTGTGAAGTCTTACCTCTCTTTCCTTCGACCTATGATGGTCACGGTCGTCTCTTTCGCGGCGACCTCTATCATTCCTGTCCTCTCTATCTCGATCTCTTCTTCGGTCAGTTTCCCTATCCCTTTCCCGATCTCTATCGATGTCTCTGTGCCTATCACGCTCCCGATTTCTGTCTCCAAAGTTTCTGTCCCTTTCGTCCCTTTCGCTTCTACGTCTGTCTCTCCCTTCCCAACGGCCCGGCCCACGATCATCCGAATCTCCCCAACGGCTTCTTCTTTTGTCGCCTCTGATATCATCACGCCGTCTATCCCTATCAAATTCCCTATCCCTTCCATCTCTTCCATCATTATTCCAAGGTCTACGAGGAGGACCATCTCTAAAGTTTCCACGATCGCTTCTTTCATTCCAAGGTCTCCTGCCATCTCTGTCCATATCACGCCTGTCATCGTTCATGCCTCTGGCCGGTGGCATATTCGGAGGTCCGTCTCTGTTGAAGGGGCGGTCTCCATGAAATCCACCACCACCTCGTCCACCGAATCCGCCTCCACGGCCTCCTCTGAATCCGCCAAGCCCAGGTCCTCCGAAGCCTCCCCTCATTGGTGGAGAACCAAAGTTTGGTGGAGGACCAGGAGGTGGGCCACCTCCTCCTGGAGGGAGTGGAGGGCCTGGCCTGGGCATTCCGGAAACACCAGGCATTGCAGGGGGCATAGAAGCTGGTGGTTGCATAGATGGTTGTGGCGGCATAGAAGATGGAGGTGGCATGCCACCTGGAGGATGCACCGGTGGCGGCATTACCATACTACCCGGACCACCGGGAGGCATGCCGAACATCTGGAATACATAAAACATCAAGTTAAGATTTATGTAGGTCAAAAATGAATCGTAAGTCACCTGGCCAGGCATACCGGGCGGCATTCCGGAAGGAAGTCCAGGGGGCATAGGTAGTCTCATGCCAAAACCGGGAGGAGGAACCATCTGCGGAGGTGGTCCCATAAAGGAATGTCCACCGTGATTTGCATGTGACGAACCTGAATTGTTATTCTTGATTTTCAAGCCGACAGATTGTGCATTTGAGATTAGAAACAGCAGGATTCTAAAATAAATCTTACCCATAAATGGGGGAAATGATGACGGCGGTGGTACCGCTTGTGGAGGTGCATGATGCACTGGTTGCAGCACTGCCGGTGAGTCGGGTACTAAAGACTTTATGGGAGACGCATGCATAGTTGCTTGCGGTGAATGTGGTGATGAGGTATCAGTTTTTGTTGGAGCAGCATTACTGGAGGGAGATGTGACTTTCGCGCCCGTATCGGTCAACAAACCTGAAACAATTCTAAACCTCATGCGCAATGGAAAGGTTAATT